TTCCATTGTCAGCCAAATATATCTAAACCCTGACCTCAGTAGTGCTCCTCTGAGCACCATATCTGCTGTTTTAGTGCATGAACACCTTTTGCTTTCCCAGCAGTACCATATGTTTATTACACCTTGGGACATAACTGTCCCCTGTGGTTTCTTCCACGGGGTTTGGTGTTTCTGATTCACTCTCTTCAGCACAGGGGAGATGGCAGTGTCCTTCCTTTCACATTTCTCCATGAACCCTGCTTCTCTGGAGATTCCGTAGAGAAATTTTCCCCTTCAAGAGCAGCAAAGCTCTTCGTATTAAACAGCCTTTCAGACACTTTGGGACAGAATCACTGGGAGGACCTTAATGTTTGCTGCTCCATGTGCCTCCCGTCTCTTCTACTGGTGTTAAACTAATTGTTTGACCCTGCTGTGAACTCCAGTGCAAGCACGTCAGAGCAGGTCCGTATTCCCTTGCATTTGCACAGAGCCTCACTTCAGCTGATCCCTCTGGCACTGCTTCACAAATAACACGTCCAACTTATTGGAAAATCCATGTGATTTTCCAGTCTCTGTGGTACCTGCCTTTCTGAGCCTGCTCACTGCAGAGTCCTGGCAGGTGGATGTGACAGCCCATGGTGGAAGCAGTTGTTAAGTGAGAGCCCTGGCTGCAATTGCCACATGTGGGAATCTATATTTCTGGCCTAGTGGGAAAGGCAGCAGGTACAAGAACATGTGACGTGCTTGTTACTAGGGGGAAATACTCCTTCTCTTCCGGCTTCAGTTTTCTCTTTACATATTTTAAATGCCAGACAAACTGATGCCCCAGTTCAGCAGAGCACTGATGCATTTGTCCTACACATCAGACTGTGTCCTTACTGCTAAGTGTGCAGTCCACTTCCATTCAGTGCTTTGCTAAATAGCACTGATTTTGGTAATTGGCATCAAGATTACTGACGAGATTAACTCATTGTGCCAAATACTTTGTTCAGAACTGTCACATCACTTTCATGTTCTTTTCTGGAAAGATAAAAGTTACTCTGGGTACAGAATAATTCATGTGATTCTTCCTTTGAGTGGAGATTTGCATGTGCTTTAACTTTACCTCCCCTGCAACTGTGCTTTAGAAGTACCAAGAGGTACTTTGCATTGGGGGACATAGTTTAGTAGGTTGATAGGGCTGGGACAAAGGCTGGACTCGATGATCTTCAAAGTCTCTTCCAGCTGAAACTATTCTATGATTCTATAAGAGCATTCCCAGCAATCCTTGTGCACCGTGGCACTGGAAGGAGCGAACTCTGAGTTGGAAAAAGCCTTGGATTCTTAATTCTTGCCATTTGGGCCCTTCTCAGACAGCTAGCTGTGCTCCCTCTCATTCCTCTGGGCATCCAACCTGTACCACCGCCTCTCACTACGTCACTGCCACGTTCATGAAACCTTTTTCATTTTGAACAGGCACTGTCAGAGAAGTAAACTTCAAAGGCCAGCAGTGGCTCTCAGGGCTCCACACGCAATTGTGTTACTTCTTCCAAAGGTGCAGTCAGGTCAAGCAATCGCTGCCCTTCAAAAGGGAAAAAATGATGCCAAAGGAGATAGGGCTGCGTTTACAGATGTGGGGACACGCGTGGTATTTTACACAGTCTCACGAGTGTGGTTGAAATAAACCATAACTGTGCTTCTCCTTAAGCAAGTCACAATAGAAATTAAATCAGTTTGCACTTGAAGGAATATTAAATGTGCAGGAATCCAGTACTGACCAGTGCGGGGCTGGATGAGCAGTTGGTGCCAGCCAGTGTACTCGGCCTGCCCTGGGTCTGGATGCACTGCGAAAAAAAAGCCAGTGTAAGGCTTTCGGGGTTGTGACAGCTGAATGGAGCTGTAACTGCCAAGGCACACATCATGGGCTGTTTTTTTTTTTGTCTTGCAGACCCCAAATGGATTATTGCTGACCCCAAGCCCGCTGCTGTCTAGCATTCATTTCTGGAGCAGCCTCAGTCCTGTTGCTCCTCTGAGTCCTGCCAGGCTGCAGGGACCAAACACTCTGTTCCAGGTAGGTCTTTTCGATGCACAGGTTTCATTTCTGAAAGCGCATGTGTGGAAGAGAGGGGAGCATCTCTTCACATCGGTCTGGAGCTTTTCAAATAATTTAAGAAAATACAGGAATTAACAGGCACCTTTAAAGAGAGGCTTGTCTTACCTGTACCCTCTTTAAACCCTTGGCAGCACAGTCAGAACCTGCAGGGCGGCGGTCTGCTGCAGCAAGCGCACACATACATTGTATGAAGGAAACAGAAATAAGTGCTGGACCCCAGTAAGAGCAGGTAACAGCTCTCAGAGCTTCATGAAGAGAGCGTGGCCCAGTCAGGGACCAACTAGGAGAGTGGTGGAGCGTGGACTCTGGGAAAACCAAAACCATTTTGGGTCTCACACAGTAATGTGGGTGTAGGTTTATCCTTCTCCCTTAATGAGCTGCTTCTCACTCAGAGAGACAGGACACAGCTATATTGGCATTAAGGGCACTGTTGAACCTGAAGGCCCTATTTCTAGTTCTCCTGCAAATTATCCATGTGTCCTCAGCCAAGTTACTTCCTACTTCTGAGCACAACCTCTCCGTATGTAACAGGAGAAAGATAGCATTGTCCGCTTTCTCTCACGGGTACTGGGAGAGTTAAGAATCTCAAAATTTTACAGAAATGTCATAAAAGTTGTGTAGTAAACCACAGTGGCCACAGCACTCAGCTGCAGCATTTGCTTGAGGCTTAGGAAGAGGATGGTGGGGATAGTATTAGCAGCTCTGGCTGCTGCAGAACAGCTGATTCAGTAAGTCACAGAAGAAATTATGCTGATCAGCTGATTGGCAAGAAACAGAAGCAGCTGATGGCCATCTGAGCAGCTGAAGAATGCAGGGATGCCTCTGGAATGAACTCTCCAACTGCTGTGGAGGGCCAGCCAGCCCCACCGAGAACTGCTGGTCATCCCCCATGGGCTTCGGGGCAGACCTCTCCCCAGGCTGCCTGCACAAGCCAGCCCGTGCTCCATGCAGCTCATCAGGGAACGGAGGAGGGAGCTGGAGCTGCTTCACCAGTTGCTTTTGCTTTCACCTGGTCATACGTGCTGAGAGCATTTGGTCACTGTTGAAGAAGTCAAAATCCTGCCAGTGTCTAGAGGCCAGGGCAGCTCTGCAGCTGCGTGCCTGCCGCTGCACCCTTACCTGCTGGTACGCACGGAGGAGAGATCAGGTTCCCATGTTTCTTTTCCTTTCAGATACATCTTTTTACAATAGTGCTATGCTTGGCATCACCCACGGTCCTTTAGGACTAATCTTTGTACAGTACAAGGACCAGGACGGGAGCCATCCACATCCAGGGTCCCGCTAAGGCCGAAACAAGCCTGTGGGAAAGTACGGTCCCTCCTTTAAAGAATCAGGAGGAGCCTGGTTCTGGCAGTGCCGGAGACAACTATGTGCATACTCCTTCACAGAGTGTGTAGATGCTTAGTAACTGGTTAAAAACTCTCCTTCAATGTTTGTAATGTGGAAGCGACCCCCATACACTCACACCTATGCGTTCTTACAGCCTATGCAGAGCACCACTGAAATCTGCAGTCTCCTTTCACACAATTTAACTTGATATATTGACCTACCTGGAAAGTCTCCCCTTTGAAGCCACACTGCTGTGTAATTAAACTTATTCTGATGTTTTGTCATTAGTTTGAAATTACCACATAACTGGAACACCAAGAGACTTGCACGCAGTTGGTTCATTCGAGAAAATGCAGCCAAACTTAAGGACTATGAGGTTAGCTTGAATTAAGTGCTAACGAAATTAAGTGTATTTTCTTTGTTACTACTGTACAGATAGTAGCTTTGAGAGGTGCCAGTCAAGTCCCAGATCCCCACTGTGTGGAGGTATATGAATAAAGAGCATCATCCTGTTGTCTCTAGGCCCTGGCTAGAGACCCCAGGAAGAAGAACAAGAGACCTGGGCTGGGTTAGAGACCAGGGGAAGGATGAAATCATGACGTTAGCATTGTTGGCATCCCGGGCCATAGTGCCAGCATGCCGCCTGCCTCCACACACAGCACAGATCACACAGCCCTGGGTTTGTTAGTTTTAGAAATCACAGGAAACACTTTAATTTACACGTCTCCCTTCAGAAACCTAGACTAGAAAAGCAAGAGCTTGTAATCAAGTTTTGTGTTTTAATGGATCTTGGCAGAAGTGATGGAAACACTCCCCAAGGTTTGGTTTGTTGGTTCAAACAGAGCTATGGGCCAGTCCTGGCCCCACCAGGAGCGTGGTGCCAGCCCCCCCCGCAGCGTGCTGCGGAGCCTGCGCCGCTTGGCGCGATTCCCAGCTGGGCGTTGGAAGGCAAGTGCCATGAAGTGACATCTTAGTGGAAGAGTAATCCTGTTATAAGCAGATTACACGCACGTGTCGAGGTTGATGATGACACCGCAGTTGGCTGTTGAAGGCCTGATCTGATAAGGGACACAAATACACTGTACACTTGGAGTCAGGAGCTCTGTTACTCAGCTCTGTTTCTCTCTAGCCAACAGAAACCCAGGGTGGCTCATGGAACCAGGCCTGGAGGCCAGATCACTATCTGCCACGGGGATAATTCCTGCCTCATGCTGCAGCAAGTTTATTCCACCTACTTGCTTTGCTTTTTCTCAAGTCAGATGTGAAGAACTAGTCAATACGCATCATTGCATGCAAGTTGCAGTCAGGATGCTGTCATGACCTAGGAACGTCAGGCTTCTGTATTGAATCAGTATTTTTTACACAGTATTTCAGAAGCAGAAGTTTTAATACTAAGTTACACTGTATTCTGCTTCACATGCTGAATGACCCAGCATATGTAGTTTACAGTTTCGTAGTGAATACAGAGAGAAACTGTAATTACTTGAATTTCCCTCAGTTTTGTGTTCACAGTCGCATCTTTTCTGCCCTCAGACTATATCTCAACTTTCAGTTTTGCAAAGCGCTTTTTCTGTAGAGCAGATGAAAAGCATGGATTTAAATTCGTATTTTGTAGGTTGAAAAACATTTTTGGAAGCAGAATGGACAGCAAACTTTGCTCTGTAGTATTAACTTCTCCAGGGTGATGACAGATGTATTGTTATGGGAGCTTTTCTATAAAATATAGCCCACAACAGATTTACATATCCCTGCACGCTTACAAATTGGTCAGGTTTCAGCCTCTGTTTGACATTCCTAATGGCTGATGCAGGCATTTGGTCTATATCTTACTGCACAGAAATGACAAGTTTGCAAACATCTGGAGCCGGTCTCTAACGCTAAATCCATGTCCTTCTGGGCTGAACGCTTCAAGACAAAGAGTAATTTTTTTACCTTTTGGCCTCTTACAGTTTCCAACTCTGCTCAATGGCCACATACCGGTGCCACTCCCCAGTCTGGATGGGGCGTCTTCTCCAGTACTGCTTTCTCCAAATGCTCAGAAATCCTGATGATGCCTCATCACGCCAAGGACTTACTGGTGGATTTAACACTTCATTCCTACGGGCTAGTTTTTCCTGTGTCATGAGAAGGACATTGTGAAACCCTCTATTACTTTGGTTTGCACTTTTCATTACATGGATAATCTACTTTTATTATGTTAGCATTTTTAAACAGTGTTTATATATGAAAGTATATATAAATCTGTTTTGCATTAAATGAATTATAATTTTTTTATATCATAGCTCTCGAGTGTTGAACACTTCTGTTGTTGATGAAGTACTTTTCTTAATGGATTGCAACAATGTATCTAATAAGGATGTGAAGCTTCTTTTTAATCCCTTTTTCTGCATATTATGCATTGTGCTTGTGTAAACTATAACCGGCTGTGCCTTCTTTTGCATAATGTCATGTAAATGATTTATATATTTTCTAGTATCAAGATAAAAAGTTGAAAGAAAGAAAACTAGTATTGAACAGCCCTATGGTAGTCTTTCAGTATTTTCTCCACGGCTAGGCCATATGATGCAGTGTATTCATGTAACTTTGTATTAAGTGCTTTCAAATTGTATAAAAATAGCCTTATAATTTTTCTTCGCTGAAGTGAAAAAACCGTAATCGACGTTACAGTCAGGAGATGCGTTTAGGAGTAACAAAGCCACATTTATGCCCAGGTTCTTCTGTCGAGTTGCGACAAGGAGGAACTGTGCATATTCATGAGACATTGCTAGCGTTTGTGAATACGTCCCTAGAAAAGGAGACGTTGCTCAGAATTTATTTGGCGTATATTTCTCACGAACTGTCAGCATTACAGCTGGAAAGACTGCAGGTAATCTCTGTCCTCCCAGGGAATGAGGCTCATTCCTGACAGAGAATTTCCAGGTGCTTTGTTCAGTCGTGCCAAGTGCCTTCTACTATTTCCCTGGAAAGATTATTCTAGCTGCTACCGCTCAGAAGGTCGCATTTCCCCTTCTCCCAAAGCTGGAAAAGTTACAGGACTGTAAATTAATGCCTGGTGCTTGTGAAGAGGCAAACTGTACACGTGGGATGTTGATGTATAATCATCTGAATTCGCGATTAAAAACCAGCGCTGTGTTACTACAGACTTGCAGTTTGAGTTTACTGGGTATGTTCTCTACCTTGAGGTGATGGTTTAGTCATCTAAACGTCAGGTTGGGATTAGGCTAGACTCCCTGGCACCACAGATTCTAATCTTGGCAGGGTTGATGCAAATCTTCAGTTTTCTGAAGTGGCTAAATTGGGTTGAATGCAGCTTTACTGTGTAGGTTTTTCAGGTGAGACCTTCAAAAACCCAACCAAAATCAGAATCCTGTTTGCTACAGGTCATTAGAGCTTCAACTTTGCTTTCTGGCCAAGCGGGTGGCCAAAAGTCTGTTCTTTTTGAAGTTTATGCAGTGAGTTGTCTGCTGATTTTCTGCTTGGATGCATTTCAGTGATGATGTGTGTAGTTAATTGTAAAGTGCTTTTGGATCCTTCAACCTGAAAGGTGCTAAATAAACATTTTATTAATGCAGTTCTGATGTTGAAAAGCCATTTTTGGGGCAGAGGTAGTCTGACAGAAGACAGTGGGAATTTTCCTCAGGCTCCTGGGTTGCACAACTGAAAAATGACTCCTTGGTTTCACTCCCAGTAATTAACAGGATAAAAACCTGCCATATCCCTATGAAGTACCGATGCTGATAAACAGAGCAGTTAGATGCAAGAGGTAAGGGAAATGAATGAAACACATGGGAAGTCACCCGCCTGATTCAGCATTTCAAGAGGTACGACCCCACGGAGTCAAAACCAGATGACAAACGTATGCAAGATTTATGAACTAAGGGAGATTTTATACAAAGTCACATCAGTGCAGCTTGTAAGAAATGGCAGCATGTACCCCATGGGCTTGACTAGTCTAGTGGAGATAAATCATAAGGGCTTGCAGCTCAAACTTCTCTCATTCAATGGATTCCTCCCAGGTACACGGAGTATTTTTCAGTAGCTAAATTACAGAGAGGCAATTACTCACACACTCTAGAGCCAGCTCTCGTTTCATTTTTCTATAGCATGAGTGCCTGCTTCAGCAGAGTCTCGCCTTGTACGCGACAGCACAGCTAATGGGAGAACAAGGCAGAGAGATGAAGTGTTTCTTTCTTAAGTTTAAAAAGCAAAGATAGGTACTCATGAAAATTTGGTCTCAGACTTAATAGGAAATACTGAATACCACACTACAGAAAACCACATGGACACGAGAGGAGGGAGTGCATGACAGAGATTCTTAAAAGAAAAAAACATCCAGATTGTCATGATTTTGTTTCTTCCTGCTGGGAAGAACCGATACAAATAAAGTCCAGTCTCTCAAGTGTTAGCACTTACCTAAACCACTATATCGGTATGCCTTATGCTTTGAGGAGAATGTTCTGTTGGTAATTTTCTACTGAATTTTATTAACAGATACTATTTTAACTGTAGAGAAAAATGAAATAAATGTTTTTAAAATAAATACTGGGAAAATGTTGATATTTTTGTGGCATGGAGACCTCCAAGCCAGCAGTCCTGGGGAACACAACAGGAGTTACTGTCTCTTCAGCATTCTTGGTAACAACTGCAATTTGGTTATACTTTTGAGGGCTTTTGGGGATAGATTTACACTTTATTCATGCTTCAGCAGTACACAAAAAGTTTTTGGTATTATATATATGGGTTGGGTATGCAATGAGGCTATTCTGGGCTTACCTTTACATTGTTGTTCTCAGAAAAGCAAGTATCCACCAGCAGGGCCACAGCTACTGGGCAGCTTTGCCAAGAGACCGCGCACATCTTCTGCCCTGGCACGGGTGAGTGCCTTCGGTTCTAAAGAAAACTTTCCAGGTGGGGAAAACCAGTGATGGGTGATAACTACAGAAAAAGAAAGATTTGACAGGCGTCCATTACATCAACAAAGGGCAGTTTGTTTTGTCTGACTAAAACTAGTTTCATCAGACAGGCACTTGCCAATCTGGAAAAACCTATCAAAGACGTAATGAAGTGTCAACGAGATGACTGTTTAAAGGGGAATCTGGTCCTTTAAAAACAGACTAGAGCATTTAATTTTAACAGAACAAGTCTCTACACTCAGAGGCTGTGTGATCTCGTGCCTACAGGAAGCATCTTCAGAAGCCATCGTGACCACTAAATGCATTTGGAGAAAGTGCAGTAAGTACGAGGAAGTCTTTTGTGTAAGGGCACGGCTGCGCCCTTCTGATCTAGAGACTGTCTCTATATCCTGTAGGATAAACACAAACGGGTCGCTCAGGCTACCTCCCTTATGTCGTCAGAAAAATACAACTTCCAAAATTCCTTTTAGCCCCAAACTGTAGCGGCTCTTACCAATTAATATGGGAGTGCTCTGCCTACACAGATGGAACAAAATCTATTTCTTGAGGGCAAGGAGACTGACAGCGTTAGTAGAGTATAGATTTATTTAAATGTGAAAAAGGAGAATGAACCTCAGGCAAGGACTCAGGAGCAATTGCCATCATGGTCTGCCTTGGATGGGGCAGGGGGTATTTGTAGAAAAGCAACTAGAAGAATTTTAGGGTATGTTGTGTTTTTTTCTTGAGAGATTCTCATCAGTTTGTGTTCACTCTCTGAGAAGTGCAAATGGGTAAACGTAACCTTAGCTATCCCTAACATTGCTCTGGGCCAGCCGCCTTCTGCGAATTAAGAAAAAAGGACATGGAAGAGAGGGAAAAAAGTGTTTGAGAAAACAAGCTCAGGGTGCTGAAACAGGAGGAGCAGGAGGAGGAGGAGGCAGCACTGCCACGTGGGGCCTGTTGTAGAGGGGACAGGGCAGGTCATTCTCACTGGCTTGCAATCTGCAGCAGCAACAATTTCATCAGCAAGATCCCACCACAACAAATGAAGGACTTCCATAGCTCTCTGGGGAAAAATGTGTTTCAGGGTACGGCATCTGAGCTGAACAAGACTCGTATTTCATTAGAAGGACCATAAAAGCAATCTGCTCAGGCAGGCCTGCCTCTTAAGTGATTCTGGAGATGCAGCCAGGACAATAAATTAAGCAGTTATTTACAACAGTAAGTACGTGCATATGTATGCATTCACAGTTTAAGTTGGCTCAAAAATTACAGAACTTAAATGAGTTAAGGGATTTTAGAAAATGTGAAAGTAATGGAAAATTGTAATGTATACCTTTTCCCACTGACATCAATCTTTTAGTTAATGAGAGAGGCACCAGTGCAGCCCAGTGAAAATCACACACAAAAAGATTTAAAAAAAAAAAAAATCTAGAAGAGCTAAACTCTAATCTCAGTTCTGACAACACGAATTTATACTGTGGCCTAGAAAAAGAGTGCGATTTCAGTGTAACTGGACTCCACCGATGAAAAGGTTGTATTGGTGTGAATACAAAGCCCATGGATCTACTTAGCTTTTATACTTTTCAAAATCATCCTGCCAGTACAGCCAGAGCTTACTTTACAACAGTACCAGTTAGCTGAACACCTGGACAGTGTTTCCTCTACGTTTTACAATCTGTACTTGTTATCTTGTCAATCTCTTAAGTTGGTCTGACACGGATGTTGGTGAGATACGCAGACGTTGCTGGGCCACATATCAGCCAAAGAGTAGCATTAAATGACTGAACAGCCCAGTCTGAAATGAAAAAACCCAAATTTTAAAAGCAAACATCCAAGTTCCTCCCCCAAAGTAAGAAATTTCATACAAATGTTCAATTTGTTTCAAAGTCCACTTTACTAAGGGAAAAAAGGTATTGAAACGTGCTAATTAAGGTGCACGAATTATTTCACCTCTGCCCATTAGCTGCTTGACAGAACGATCACGTCCGTGACCACGTGTTGTCACAGGTAAGTTCTGATTTTTCTTCAGTGTCATTATGTGCTATAGCTGTGCATTTCCATACTCTCATGTGTTTGAATTCCTTTCAAGTCTGACCTTAATTCTGGGTATTTCCTAGGTTTATAATGCTTAGTGTGGGGATATTAACAACATACCTTTCATATACTTTGTCCTCAATAACTAAATGTATTCTTAACCTTAATTCCCTCTTAACATTGCAAACCAGAAACAATGCACCTTTATTGCACTGGAGAACTCACAGGCAAACAAGTGAGCAGCCCAAGGAATGCCACCTCGCAGTTTTTCAAATGATTTGCAAATACAAAGCATGTTGATTCTTCAATAATTTTTTATTTTAACTTTTATTGCCCGATTCAGGGATACACTCTGGCTACTTAATGCTGTGGCAAAGCAGCACAAAAAAAATAATAACACAGCCGTGTCAAGATGCACGTTCCACTAGAGCATTGCCGAGCAGCTGGATTGCCCCTTCCATCTCCCACTCTGTCCTCTCCTGTCAACCCCTGTCCCCCACCCACCCGGTCCCCTCTTCAACCTTCACCTCCATGTGCTCACAACCTCGTCACCACCTGCCCCTCTGCTCTCCTCAAGACCACCTGGTTCCTACACATGCCTACACGCGCACCGCGGCGTTCCTGCCCCGGGGTCGATGCGATACGCCGGGGACCTTCTGAAAATCATCACTTCATCAGCAACAACCTGCGGGCTGTTTCTCATTAACCAATCTTTCAAGCAGAGGTGGCCATACCGAAGCTTGAAAGTCATCCAATTTTAGCGACTATCTGCTTGGTTTTCGTCACGCTTGAGGTCTTCTCCCGGAAAGGCCAACAGTCCCTGCAGTTGTTGGGGACGGTGAAACCACAGCCCGCGGTGGTGCCTGATGCTGCCAGACAGGAGGCGGTGGAACACCGAACTGCACAGAGAGGATGCCAGAGAAATGCCCAGTGACTTCAGACTTGCTGACTACTGCCCTGAACAGGCAGCTGCTACAGAACTCTCTCTGCTGATGCAGGAATTTCAATTATAGACAATTTGGGGGAAAAAAAAAAAAAAAGAGAGAGAGAAACTGGCTTGACCACAGATGCCAAGTTTCTTAAGAAATACATTCTTTTAAAGCCACCTCCTAATGAAGCAAACCGATTCACTTGCAGGTCCTTAGGAAAATCTCTTTATAAACCAAGTGCTTTAATTTTATGGAAGATCTTTTCATCTGCAACAAAAAAAGCTGAACTCCTACTTAAAATGGAAACCTCCTTTTGTTAGCTGCAGCTGATCCCTTTCTAAATTCGTTAATGCACTTAATTTTAACAGTTAAACCTTTAAGTCCTTTACTCATTAGTGTCACATTATTACTTGTTCTTTTATGACCTACAAAATATTACTGTTCTAGAAATGCTAAATCCCACACGTATCCACAGTGAACACTTACTCTATAACTTCGCTACTTCTGTGAAAAAAAGGAGATCTTTTCCTGATACTTTCTTCAACACTATCACGTCTACAACATATTTCCTACAAAGTTAATCGGTATAAAATCTAGATCAGATCCATAGCAACTCTAAAAAAATATATAACAACTATTTTGGGACAAAGGCTTTTCATCAGTGCCAAAGCCACCCCCGACGCATGTGCGACGCTCCCACTGGCAGCAGTGGGAGACCCACGCGTGTGCCGGAGGCTCCTAGACCTAGGCAAGACTTCTGATACCGCGTGACATGCAGGACTCGCTTCCTAATGATTTACACTATGGACCACGATTACGAGAAGATCCTGAAGGGCCTCCGTCACGGATGAGTCGCGCCCCTTTCTGCCGCCTGGCGCGAATTAACCAGCGGCCAAAGTTAAGATCGATGACTCCCGCGACACACAGACCTAGCTAAAACGTTTCCAACAATGCCCCAAGAACTGCCAAGTTCACCGACGTCTGTATTTTTAACAACACAGGGCCTTTGTTGTTATAAATTTTGAAACAAACCCAAAGAATTCCACATAATATTTATACTTTCAAAAGTACAATATTAATACAGGTCGGTCAGTTAGAAATAACAGCAGTTTGTTAGGTCTACAAGATTCAACGTAAAACCGGTTTACAAATGCTGAAAAGCAGTAGTGGTCCAATAGTCACCGTTACACATGAATTTCTCTCTTCCAGAAAATAATAAAAAAAAAAATCCCAATTCAAATTTACCATTATCAATGAAATATTAATAAAACACCCCCAAACATGCCACAATCACTATTCACAAATAAAGTTAAAATGAAATATACAAAAATTCACTTAATACTGTTAAATAACAATAAACTACAAGATTTCCTGAACAGAAATGGTAGGACCCCTGAATGTTTTACAGTGAATGTCAGGAAAAATTAAGTTACCTATGACTATTTTCATGATATACCAGCCAAAGATTTACATGACCATTTCAAAATATACCAATAAAGATTTACAGTCTCTTTTAAGATGCACTAAACAAATAGTTTCATAAAGGTGAACACAAATGCTTAAAAATACTGTAACCATCACCAAGGGTGTACTTATGATACTCACTGAGATGCATAAGCATAGTAGTAACATGTTTACTATCTCTGGTAAACAGATAACATCTAAGATCTGAAAAACTCTCTAAGTTCCCACTGGAAAAGCTCTGTAGTACAGTGAGTTCTTACCAAGTACAAACTCGCCTCTTTCCAGTTGATTTCAAGTGAATAATGCACAAATGGGAGAGCAACTAGGTGGGAAAACTGCGTGGTTTTCCCATGCTCTTGCCATTAGTTGTCCTGTTCCTCTGTGATGGAATTCTCAATTTCAAAAGTAACGCACCAGGGCCCAAGGTTTTATGAATTGCCTTTTCACTATTTGTATTTCTAAGTTAAAAACGAGGTAAAAAAGCCGCTGCTTCTGCAGGCCCCCTGTGCACAAGAATGTACAAATATCTTGTGCGGGACTAAGCCTGACAAAATTTGTCGTCAGGTCTCCACGCTCTAATTTACCAATAACTAACAGAGGATCTGAGAGCAAATAATAGTTACTGTTCACTTGTTTGAATCAACTTTCACACTGTGTGCTTTTCAAAAACATAATACGCATTATAATTTTTCAACTACTTCAACACATACTTCCAATGTTAAATAAGGAATTAAGTGCCATGAACTTAGAGCATTAAAGATGGTTCACCTATAGCCAAGCAAAGCTATGTTTACATTCCAGGAAACACTGCAGTTTAAGAAATACAAAAAAAACCCCGCAGCAGTAGAACATTTTATGAAGAGAAACAGAGGCATTCACATATCATAAAGCCATTGCAACTTCTTCAGGCATGGAACTGTTGTGTTAACTATACAGACAGTAGTTATTTAGCAGCAATGATTCCGCAATAAATAATGCACTGTGTTTCTCAGTCCTGCACAAAAATTGCAGCTACAGTTACATCAACAGCTGTAACCTACTGGCTCTAGTGGCAGAGGAGACCTTAAAACCAACTGTACAAAAAATTGTCACACTGTGACAACAAATATAAAAACATAATCTGCAGGTTGGAAATAAAAAGACTCCACTGTGAAGAGGACAGTGTAGACGAACTGCGATTCCGAGTCCACCAACAGAGAGCACTGCCTTCCGATCCGAGTCCTTGACTGGCAGGACGGGCAGGGGCTTGACTCCGCGTCACCCACTTTAGAAAAGCATGCTCTGCCTTCTGTTCTTCCCATGGCCTGCAACGGGAACACGTACTGCCGTGAGAAACTGAAGCATCCACCCAACAGAGTCTCCTGGCTTTCTATTTCAAGAGAATACCCTTTGTGCCTAAACCAACACCAGCATCTTCCTTCTAACTGCACTTACTGCTTTTTATTTTTATATTTTACTTTGCCACTACTCAACATCCACACAATAATGATTTGAAAATCAAAGACATTCTCTTGTTAACAATCCCTTTGCCCAGTCCTAGAAAAACTTGCCTCCTTCTGTGCATTTAGCTTTTATGTCCCTACAGGACATTCCGAGCAAATCACTCTTGATGTTTGAGTGTATTCACACAGATCAATTCAACAAAGTATTTTTCAGTTCAAAATGTCTCTGGCACAGCATTCCGTTTGCAGGTATGAGAAAATGAGAAGCTTTCCATACCTGTCTCTGGGTAAGTGGAATTCCGAAAGCCAGGGTCTTTTTGCAATTGAATCTCCTTTAGACTGAATATTGAAACACCTGGAAGGGAACAAATAAATTAATAGCCAAACACAACTATGCTTTACTGAACAAAGTTCTATTCTTAACAGTCTACTTAAGAAATGTTCTCTATTCCCAAATATTTAAGTCAATATATGCCAGATGTCTTTAACAGATTAGATTTGGGAGTTTTTCCTTAAGCAATGCACTTAATATACTATCTTAATGCTCTGCTACTTTACTACTCCTCTTACTTTCAGGCAAAGTGTGTATTCTTGTTCCAAGACTTCTGAAGTATGCATGTTTCATGGCCTCTTCTGCTGAAATTCTCTTCTTCGATTCATACTATTAACATAAAAGGGTACAAGTGTGTTGGTTTTCATCAAAAAAACTCTTTGCACCAAGTGATTTCATCAAAGGGAGAAACAGAATCCTACTTGCTCAAGATTTCCCACCAACTCGCTCGGACAAATTTGTTTTCATTACTTTCATTCACATGTGAAGATCTAACATATGCTATCTAAATCAGTATTACCAACACGTAACAAGACTGTTAAAATAGGCAAAATAACCGCTGTAAATTGATGCCAGTCAAAAATACACTTAAACTTTATTTATAGATGTACCAACGACTAGATGACAGACTTGTGTCTACATTATGTTCTAATATTAAACCGCAACGAAACGCTATTACGGGAGATCACAAAGTGTCTCTAATTGGCAGGACTACGCTGCGGCGTTTTGCATAAAACGGAACTTTAGCCACTGCGGTCCTCAGCCTGAGCTCAGGTGCCTCCTGCTTGGCGTTTGTGCGCATTTGGTCAAAGACGCAGACATTGTGTACACAAAGAAGAACTAAGTTCAGAGGAGGATTGCAAGTGCCATTCTGACACGATGTGTAAGCGGGTAAAGACCTGATGTAGAATTTAAATCACAGAGCAGAGTAACCGCACTCCACCTTACCTACGACGGATTTGCAATACCATGCAGTTACAGTGCTTCCGCATCTGGCCAAGGACTTAAGAGCTGGCCTTCCATCTCGCTTCTCCCTCTTCTTGCTCATTTTTAATACAGATTAAAAGATTAAACTGACCTACTACTTCACCTTTTGAATACAGTTTGCAAGACCAAAGGGTAATATTACACTCTGGTAACTGGTTCTATAGTAGCAAACCAACTTCATGCAACAGAAATTTAGTATTTGTATTTAAAAATTCTTTTTCAATACCGTATCTCACAAGAGATTTAGTTTTTTTCAGGGGATTGCTAATACAGAAACAATTATAATTTTACAAAAAGCAGTAAGAGACTTCTTCTGTCACCAAAAAAATTAAAAAACTAAACATAATGTTTTTAATTCTTACAGTACATATGCTTCCCAAATCTGTCATTCTTCCCAAATCTGTAATCCACTACAGAGTCAGCTTCATATTCCACTTTGAAACACATCTAAGAGATATTATACCTTCCAATAAATTTTGTAAACAATACATTAAAACTCTATAAACTTGCACTTTAACAAAGTAAAACCACAAAACACATCTTACTTGAAGGAACTTTGCTATCAATTCAATTCCTTCCATGTCCAGCCTAAAAATAAAAATATTTTAAAACATTAAAAGTTAATGAATTACACTTACAAAAGCAAAACTGCAAAGGAACTGACTTCATGAAATGATATCAAACATGAAAATTAAACTTGAATATGGAAATTCTGTCACCTAAACAACTTCTGTGCATGTTAATGTGTATACATACGAGTACCAGTATCTCAGAACAAGACTCTGAACAACACTGGGGACAGACAAATCCTGAGCTTTAGGTTGTGATTTACCAATTGACCTGGATCTTTTATTGCATCTTTTTGATGCAACTGATGAAAAAAAAGTTGGTTTTTTTTTAAAAATTATTTTTATCCTAACATTACTCATTTACAAGAAGGACACAATGTTAAATCTTTTGCTTCAGAGTCAATTGAAAATGCTGTAGTCTTTGCCATAAAGTTTATTTATAAAACCTGTGCAGATCCTTCCACCTCTTCATAATGGTTTCAGAATGATTTCAAGAGACTAATCAAGGAGACCACGTCATTTTAACAATGGGCCTATTACATAACAGAAAAGAATCTGGGTTATTTAGGAAGTGCTGTGAGTATACTCCTACCATGCAAGCATTATTAATTGGAGTTTACAGTTCTACAGGTCATTAAGGAGCTGTGGTACCTTGAATGACATTAGACAAAGTAATCGCATAGGACCAGAATTACGCTTTGTGTTACTGTCTACCCACACTAACACAACTGATGTGTAGTTTTCTAGCGTTCAGTTCTTGGAAACATGTTTACATTTACCACAGGGATGCATATTTTCTATTAAATAACATATGAAATACCTTGGTGCATGGTTGATAAGAGGTTGTGGTTTATACTTCGGAAAGTTGTAGTTTCTAAATTCATCACTGGAAGAAATGCCTGGCCATGTTTCTTGACAGGGGGTTCCTGCATTTAAAAAAAGCAACAGATTTGTATAAAAAAAATTAAACTACTTGGACATAAATAAGCATACTGTAATTTAAACAGGAAGGGGGGGAAAAAAAAGCCAATGAGCCTATGTTGTACAAAGTCAGCTGTGCACTCAGTTCAATCATTTTTTAATCAAGAGTTCACTTATTCATCTTAATTACAATGCAATATAAAATATCAATATTTGCAGTTAAAGATCTAAAGTTCTCATGGAAAAAGTGTGCAGAAGAACAAACATATAGCATCAACAGTACTGCTTAAAGTATCCTTTACCTAGAAGTCTGAAAATTAAGTGCAGCTCATCTTCAACAGTCGAACCAGGAAAAAGAGGTCTTCCTGATGCCATTTCAAAAAATATGCATCCGACACCCCTTTATATAAAAAAAGAAAAAGATAAATCAGGAACAAGCCACCAATTTAAGCTTTCAGCTCTTAAAGACTTCTGTGATTTCCCTTCAATTAAAACAAACCATTAAATTAGTTGTTAGGCACACATTGCTATTTAAAATATTGTTTTGAAAGATAAATAGCAACAAAAGAACTGCCAAAGACTAAACAAAACCTGTCACAGCTGTATTATATCCTCTTCCTTCACATGTCAAGTTTATCAATTGCATTAAAGCAAAATAACACACTAGGTCATTAGAAGAACGTGTTTACTTTTTTTCCCTAGCACTGTGGGCCTAATGCCTGCTCACTAGAAGCAATTAAAAGGTACTCTGCATTTTCAGAGAGAAATAAAGAAATAATGGCATCTTCCTTCCCTGCCAATCCTTCCTCTAAAAACTGAACACAGTTGTAGCCCTTAAAAATTCAAAGGATGAATATTTGACTGTTACTATATAGTAAAAAAGAGTTGACATTTTTTCAACTCGACTGTGAACAAAAATTGAAATTAGACAAAGCTATACAAACCACATGTCAATTTGAGTCGAATACTCCGAAGATCCAAGGAGAACATCAGGCGGTCTGTACCATAACGTGACAACTTCATTGGAATAGGTCTTTGTAGGAACAGACTTTGCTCTAGCCAGTCCTTGATACAAAGGGAAGTAAGAGAGTCATGTACAGCTTGCTGAAAGCTTTTTTTTTTCCACAGAATTGACAGGGAATTTTAAAGAGCTAAATCAACCTTATTATACTTGCTAAATACATTCCCTTGGTGTTCATTTAAAAGCCCATTTCTACAACTTGTGATTGCCTCTTAGTATTTACAGCAATCTCATGATTGGAATTTTTAAGCACAGAAGACAGGCAAACAAATCAAAACCTGGAGTAACCCCATAAATTTCATTAAATCAATATGACACCTCTCCCCCTGTGAAAAACCTTCCACACTATTTCCACTCGAGAACTGTTGCAAAATGCAGAAGGCAACGAGCGAATAATAAAACCGTTGAATCAGAGCAAATCAATGTTGGATCAGCAGGGGATTTCTATCCTAACACTGTCAGTTTGTCAGTAATACCTTCACTAAAATTTAGGTCTATCGCGTTAGGTGCAACCTTCTGAGCAACTTTTATTCAGGTACAAGGGGAAAAAAACAGTGACAGACCAGCTTTCAAAGGACCTTCCTGACAGCGAAGATAGCAGGAGCCTGCGCATGCCCCGCTCCACTGGAAATCCCAAAGGAACTTGGTGTATCAGTGATGGGGAACACCCATCAACGTAGCACATGGACAGACCCTTCCTCTCTCCCTTCACGGTTGCTCTGCTTCAGGGTGGTTGTGGGATGTCAGGAAAAGCAACTTGAGCTCCACTACAGGGATCTAACTAAGTGTCAGTTTGAAAGGAAGCTGAAAGACCACTTGCAAACCACAAGTCAAGTGACAGTATTACCTATAGAGGTATTACTTTGATTACTAATATTCTGTAAAAGGCTGACTTCCATGTTCCACCTGAGAACGCACAATTTCATCACAGACTCCAAGTTCTCATCTCTCCTTATAAAAAGGAAAGATGCCTCACTTTGGCTGAGTGAATAATCCATATTTGTTACAGAGTAATTTCAGGCCTTACCAAAGTCTGCAAGCTTCAGTTCTCCTTTCTCATTAATGAGCAGATTTTGTGGCTTCAGATCTCGATGTAACACCTTTCTCCTATGACAGTATGACAAACCCCGGAGAATCTGGTACAAAAATAGCTATGGAAGAGAACATTTATAAAATTAGACAAAAAATGTTAATCTACAGACTACATGACTATAACAGTTCATTTGGGCACTGCAGAGTTAAGTCTCTGTACTGTAAGCAGGACAAAAGTGCTTCTCAGAAAGTTATTTTTCCATATGAACACATTCTGAACATCATAATTGTTTACAGACTTAAATTCCTTTACGTTAATGCACTGCTTTAATACAATAGTTTACAACAAAGATTTTAAGAGCAATTCGGTTTGTTTAACCCAAGAGAACCACAGGGCTATTTATTTTTAAGTAAGCATTTACCAAGGCTCTTCCCCACACTAATGTCTTTAAAGGTAATCATCTCTGACTGTACTCAAGTTCCCTTCTGCCACAGAATCCCTCCTGAAAATGCAGCACAGCATTTTTCCTACCCAATTGTGCAAAACTAGGCAATGAACGTTTTGGCACACTATTGGAAAAATACACTTGGACTCATGAGCTCACAAAACATGCAGAAATGGGGAAATGAGGACTACTGAAGCAGCTCGACCGCCTCGGGCAGTTATATTCATCCCCTCACCTTGCCACACACAGGTTTATTTTAGTCCTTTGGAACAGCAAGCCAAGCAAGCAACTCCAGCCATGCATATTTATGCTACACATAAATAGACCCGGCAGTAGTAAGGGATGAAGAGAGGTTTAGCAGACGGCAGCCAAGCAAGTTTACTATGTCACTGCATTAAGAACTAGTATTTTGCAGTTTCTGGGGGACTTCTGGGTAGCCACTGCCGGCATTTACTGCACCAGAGTCCTCAGCCAGTAAAGATGATCAAATGTACAATGAAAAATACAGCGTGGTACAGAAAGCAATGTTTACCAACGTGACAAATTCGGCATGTACTAGCTAGGACTTCTGAGAAGAAACACTAGAATGTTGTTATATGACCATTTTGTAACTCATCAGTTTATTTTTGCACCAGGTGACAACACCAAATTCTTTTTCTTAAACTGGACAAATACACAGCAGGTGTAGACTACATCCATCTGTTCTCAATCTGCTTAGGTGGGATTTATCTGTTCTATAAAAAAACAAATTGGGAACGTTTTTTGTTCTTTCCTGCTCTTCATTTTTGAAGAGCAGAATGAGAAGCAGCAAGTTTTGTTTCATCCACTTCATACTGTTGCAGGGGTTGTCAGTCCTAAGTAACTGTAACAGGACTGCTGTGGAAATCGATACACAACGCTAGCACGCACTGGGACTGCACGGATTTCTCAGGAAGGCAAAGCAGATTATTCTACAGAAATTGTAGATCTTCACCACAGTTGGCAAGAATCCTTTTGGAAATACACAAGTTGACATGTATTAACTCAAAATTGTGTCTGAAACAGTAATACCTGCAGAGACTACACACATCTCTATATATCATCATTTTGTTAAAGCTCAAACCGCTAAAATTAGCTGAGGAATGTTAAGGGAGTGATGACAGGGAGGACTCTCAAAAGGTAATAATGACCAAAAGCCCCACAGTTATTGGAAGATAAGCACCTACAGTTACTACAGTTAAGCAGCTGTTCTGGTTTCCCAGTGCCAAAGGTACTGACCGTATAAATCTGCTCTTAGAGCACAGCTTAAACCATAGGCAAACAAGGAAAAACAGTTCTTCTGCTTAGATCGGATTACCACAAGCAGATTCTGCTTGTTTTCTAACTGCACTTGTTACAGGAGTCAGTTTCCCACTTACAGCTTTTCTTCATTTATTGTTTTTAAGCTTAAAGCACTACTTATTAACTTGTAGTTAATTAAAAACACAAGTGTAATTATGTTTTTTGTTGCCTCTCTGAAGTACAGACAAATTCAAGAATTTCCTTCTGCAGACTCTCAAAGGAAGCAACAGAATAGGTTACGGGCAGATGTCTTTCCCT